TTGTCTGTTCCTCCGCCATAGAATACAGAAAGCGCTGATTTGTTTCACGTTTACGAATAAACCTTATTGAACGTGTTTTATGTTGTTGCTTTCGAAATGTAAATAAAATTAGTTTTTAGGACACTGGAAAGCGCACTTTATATTTCATTTGCCTGTCTTACATATGAAAAGCTTTTTAGCTTTTTTTTGTTTTTTTTTTCTGAATTCAACTCTGGCACTTCCAAATCTTTTTACTTTATTCCACGCTGAACAAACAAAGAAAAAATATCAAAATTCATGAAAAATTCGTTAGAAACAAAGAAAAGAGAAATGAATTGTTATGTAATACCGCACCTCCTACATGGCAGGGAGTGATGAACGATTTAGTCACTGGTGAAGAGGAGATTTGAAGTATCCCGAGATGTCGCTCTAAAGAAGGACGCTGAGAATACCACAGACGGAAAATGTGTGCAATTAGGAAGTTTTAGGGAAAGGAGAATCTGGCACTCACAGGTGATACTGAAAGCAAGAGCGGCAGGTGAAAATGATGAGTAACCAACCTAATGAGCTTGTACCTAAGGGCAAAACAGGAAATAGGCGGGATAGTAAGGAGGTAAACATTACTTAGAGCTACAAAGGATAGGAAGTTGTGGAGAGCCATGATCACCTACCTAACGAGCTCATGTAAATAGATGGTAAAACAGTGAATGGGCAGAATAGTAAAAAGACAAATCTTACTAAACAACCTTACTTACAAAGGATAGAAAATTGTGAAGAACCACATCACCCACGTCCTGAAGGGACACGGCAATTAAAAAAAGATTCTTAATTGGTCTACATTGTAGCAATAAAATTGTTTTTCATTACTTGTAATTTTATTTCACTGAATATTTTTGTAAAAAAATGTTTTAAATCTAGCTACGAGGAGAGACATTTTACATGGATTAATTCCTTTCGTGAAGTGTAAGTGTAGGAACAGGTTTTTGTATTACTGTAAGGCATGGGCTACCAGGAATCCCTTCATTTAATTTATTATATCCTTTTCCTACCACACTCAGTGCATTGTGATAGTCTTTTTTAAAGATCTTCAAAGATATAAGGTGCGATGGACGTCTAAATTACGCAAAAATGAAAATAACACTGACATCTCATTTTAACAGATAAAGAGTAAACTTATTCAATAAAATCACCATTAGTTTCAATCACGGCCTCCAGACAACTTCAGAATCTTCTGCAACTCTTCTGGGCGATCTCCTTGTTTATGTTAGCGAATGCTGCCATAATCCTTGCCTTCAGTTTATATTTGGTGTTACAAGGAGTTTTGTTGGTCTTTCGCTTAACTGCGCCCCACATATAATAATCAATGGGAGTTGCAGTCTGGGGAGTTAGGTGGCCAGATGTAAGGGGGTGATGTGATTGCATAAATTGCCTGATAGTTATGACTGGGTTCTCCTGCTTGTGTAGCATGGTGCAGAGTTCTGTTGCCAGACATAGGGTTTTCCAGTAGCCACGCTCTTGACCCAAGGCAGCACTATTTCCCCAAGGTACTTGACGTAGGCCACCGTATTGGGTGTGAGATCCTGTGGGAGGATGAATGGAGGCATAACATTGCCATCACTAGTGATCATTCCAAACACCTTCGTAATCACCATTAGACTCATTCAACACTTTCCGAATCCTCTGAACTATCCTCAGATTGACACCCAAACACTCTGGAATGTTCGTATTTGTTATGGTCCAGTTTAGGACCAAGGAAGAACAACACGAACACAAGAGTAGAAATAACGAAGGTATATTACACGAAATAATAATAAAAGATGTGGAAGGTGTTAGTATGACTGTCAGTTTGGTTTGGATTGAACTACTATCGGCTCGTCTCGATTCGGTATCTAGCCACCCCCACGAGGGTTGCATGTGGCACAAGGCCGAGTTTAACGTGGGTTTCCCGAGCCCGTAGGCTCGGCCCAAAAATGCCCGTAGAACCCGTATAAATGGGATCGGGTTGGTCAACCTCCCCGAACGAGACTCTGCCCTTCGGCGGAGCCTCGTCCGGGTTCCTCTCTGCTCAGAGGCAGAGAGTTCGACCGTCAAGCCGAGCTTCTCGGCTTGATTCGGTATCTAGCCCCCCGCCCCCACGAGGGTTGCATGTTGCACAAGGCCAAGTTTTTACGTGGGTTTCCCGAGCCCGTAGGCTCGGCCAAAAAATGGCCTTATAACCCGTATAAACGAGATCGGGTTGGTCATTTCTCCCGAACGAGACTCTGCCCTTCGGCGGAGCCTCGTCCGGGTTCCTTTCTGCTCAGAGGCAGAAAGTTCGACCGTCAAGTCGAGAAGCTCGGCTTGATTCGGTATCAGCCACCCCCCACGAGGGCTTGCATGTGGCACAAGGCCTAGTTTTTTACGTGGGTTTCCCGAGCCGTAGGCTCGGCCAAAAAATGCCCGTATAAACGAGATCGGGTTGGTCATTTCTCCCGAACGAGACTCTGTCCTTCGGCGGAGTCTCGTCCGGTTCCTTTCTGCTCAGAGGCAGAAAGTTCGACCGTCAAGTCGAGAAGCTCGGCTTGATTCGGTATCAGCCCCCCCACGAGGGTTGCATGGCACAAGGCCGAGTTTTTACGTGGGTTTCCCCGAGTCCGTAGGCTCGGCCAAAAAATACCCGTATAACCCGTATAAACGAGATCGGGTTGGTCATTTCTCCCCGAACGAGATTCTGCCCTTCGGCGGGGCCTCGTCCTGGGTTCCTTTCTGCTCAGAGGCAAAAAGTTCGACCGTCAAGTCGAGAAGCTCGGCTTGATTCGTCCCTCTCTCTTGAGAGGCGTAGCATACATAGTGTTAGGAAGAGTTCATTCTGTAGTTGTAGGTACGGACCCATGACAGTATTGGAGCTTCCGGTGCGAATGCCGAGTAGTACAGTATGTCGTTTCCAAATTTCTGGCGGAGTAAATTGCGTCATGGTGCTTTTTTTTTCTCACAGACGGTGCCCAACTAACCCTACTATACTGTGCAGTCGACAAAATCAAAGACAAACCACGCGCATGCGCGAAATTCAAAATATAAAATGGCTATAATTTACCCATCACACCCTGTACATTACAGTCAGCAGTGACTGCCTTGTCATTAAGAAAGCACATTCTGTTTTTGTGGGTTTTAATCACTATACCTTAGCGAGGACATCTCGACGTGGCGTAATGGTTAGCAAACTTGTCTCGCTAGAACAATTACGACTGAGTAGAGAGTTCGATCTTCACTGGATGACTCATAATCTCGACCTTGTGCCACATCTATGCTACGCTTAGTAGTTCGCCACTATATCTGGCTTTGTTTGTGTGCATAATAACGTTTCATAAAATTGTAACAGGTCCTTTGTATGTCATTATTATATTTTACCCTTGCTTTATTTTGGACATGCTTCCTTTTTCATATAAGTGGACTCCACCAGAGTGTTACTTGGACTGCTGCCATTAAATACCCAGAGTCAGTCAGAATATACAGAGATTGAGTGAGCTGAGATTGTGATTGAGTTGGAGGTAGAGTAATAGTGTGAGGTAACCGCTTGTAGAAGTCACAGTTACAAGCACGTAGACTCTAAGGAAGTCCTACTTCGACTATATATATATATATATATATATATATATATATATATATATATATATATATATATTGCTACTAACCGCGTGCCTGGATTTACTAATAGTATTACCCATTGTATTATTGTGTAAATACATTTAATTTCTCATATTTAATTCTTGCGTTTGTCGTTCATTGGAGACCGAATTTCATCTCGGAATCCACAACACTTCCCCAACTTTCAATCAGATGATATCAAGGGACAGCAGCTTTTTGCAACTGAATTGCCAACAGGTGAGGCGCCATGTGGTTTGTGGGCATGGAAAAATGTTTGTAAGATTTGCAAATTTAAAGTCCCAAGAACCAATTGAAAAACAGTTCACTAAATATTTCAATGTTTTAAACTTTCCCGAAGAGTGCTGAACTGTTATCTATTATCAATCTATCTATATGGCAGTGTAGAATAGACAACTTCCTCATACATGAAGAAACAGTTTGACGCAACAAAAATACTGAAGCCTGCTGAGAATTGCATAGACGGAGCATATAAACATTAAGGAAATTTTAAAGACAATCGACGCAAAATGGACATTTATACTTAGAATCAGAAAGGAACAACTGAAATCTCTTGGATACATAATGCAGAAAGAAGGCTTGGAGAATCTGACACTCACATGATATGCTGAAGGCAAAGAGAGACAGAGGAAAATAACAAGCAACCTACCTAACAATCTTGTGTGAACAAATGGCACGTAAAATTGGAGCGATGGTGAATAGGGAAAGATTGCTAAGAGCATCAAAATGATTGTGCTGCGCCAATATTCCAGGAAAGAGATTTACCTTGAAAATCAGTATCGGAAATCTAATTAGCTGGAATCGAACCCCGACTTCCAGCCCAACTACTACCTCAAACAATATATGAGTTTCCTATTGCGCATGACAATATTGATAAATATATACTTGCTTACATATTTTTGTGTGTGAGTGTGGATTGGTGTAAGGATAAAAGACTGCGGTGTGTGGGTGTGGGTAGGTGTAATGATATAAAAGACTGCGTGTTTAAGTGTACATTTGAGGACACATTCTGTGACTAGCATAAAACTATGTTGTCCCATTTATTTAGACTTTAGGATTGAATGTTTATTTATTTACTCGAAGAGGGCAAAAAAGGCTCGACGGATTTTATATGAATCCACGGTCTGTTGGATTGCGATGCATATGATAATGACGTCATTTGAAAAAAAACACCAATGGAAATTCACTCGAGTGTGACAACGCGTCAGCTTATCTTTGTCTCTGCTATTATTATTTTTTTATTTTTTTATTCTTGTTATATTCATTGAACAATTAAGAAATGAACATAAAAAAGAGGACAAAGAAAAAGAAACAAACAAAAGAAGCAAGGATTGGGGAAAAGCGAAAGAGAGATATTGACGACTGAAAAGACAATGTGTTTAAAAAGAAAGAAAGAAAGAAAGAAAGAAACTATATGAACAGATACTAAAAATAACGTAAATATGGAAAAAGAAAAAAGCCTTAATATTCAAAGGAAGAAGAATGATATAGAAATAAGGAATGAAAGAAAGAAAGAAAGAAAGAAAGAAAGAAAGAAAGAAAGAAGCTAAACATACACTACAGTTCAAAAGTTTCAAGCGACAGAATTAGCAGGGGATGAAGAGGAGTAAAAAAAATGAAAAAAAGAGTTCTTAGAATCATTGAAAAAAGAATGGAATGAATTATCAAACTTATACTTTGAGAAACTTTTGCAATGAATGCCAGAGATTTGTGCTGCAGTAATCAATGCGAAAGGAGGATATTTTGACGAGAGCAAAATTTAATCATAAAATGCTTTTTTTTCTTTTTGTCGTGATAAAATTTCTAATAAAAATCATGTCTCACATTTTTAAACCATGTATAACAATTTTCTCTTATTTAAAGTACAAAACAACTACTTTGGGGTCCAATTTAAAAAATTACAAATGTTAGTTTCAAACTTTTGAACTGCAGTTGTATAGAGAAGAAAAGAAAAAGGAAGAGGTTTGATATTCAAAGAAATCAAGAAATGATAGACAAAAAACATCAAAAGATGAGAGAAAAGAAAAAAATAAGAAAAACTGAACAAAGAAAAAAATTGATTGAATGAGAAAAAGCAACATTGCAATTTTGAATCATCAGAAATTAATAAAATCTTTCACGAAACTCCGAATAAACAAAATGGTCGAAAGTTTATCTCCAATTCAAGAGAATTCTCTCTTTTTTTATCAAGCCTCATATTCAGATGATTACGATTATCTTATCAACTTAATTTTACTTCCGATGAAATCGTTTACATAAGTAATGCACGCTCAGAGTCTTTTTATGGTAGTAGACTGAAGAGCAATAGATATGTATAGAATGAAAGCGAAATGTGTACAGAACAACATAGATAGATAGATAGATAGATAGATAGATAGATAGATAGATAGATAGATAGATAGATAGATAGATAATGTATAGAATGAGAGCGAAATATGTACAGAACAAGATAGATAGATAGATAGATAGATAGATAGATAGATAGATAGATAGATAGATAGATAGATAGAAAATAGTATTCCTCTGCTTAACATAAAATTTGTTACTACTTTTAAAACAATAAAAGACTTAATACTGAACAAAATAATACGCTAAAACTTGAGGGAGCAATTTACTCTATTACCTGTAATAATTGTCACAAGGAATACATAGGAGAAACCACGAGGAATTTAAATAAGAGATTATATCGACTCAAAAAAGAGATCATTTACAAAACAACACATTAAATGCATTAGTTGCATATCGTGATGAGTTTTGCCATAATTTGTTTAAAAATTGCAGCTCTAATTAAAAGAGAAAATAATTCACTGAGACAAAAATATTCAGAAAGTGTTTTTAATCGCCACGTTCCTCCACAGTAAAATTACGTCCCGGTTCTTACACCATTTCACCTTTCTTGACAGATCTTTTATTATCACAATATGGGACAATATTTAATAACAACTGCGATGAAAACATGAACAAAATGAACAAGAAACTAAATGAAATAGGCTAGAATATATACCCAAAACATTTATTTAATGAAAAAAAAAATTTAAATTTAAAAGTCGCAGTGTCACGTGTCTTTCGTGCGCAGTCCTTAAGAAGAGTGTTCCCGAACTGGCTCCTGTTCCCGAACTGGCTCCTGTTCCCTCTAAACTGTATAATAAATGCCTCGCCGCCCCTTGCTTTCTGCTTGTCGGAAATTCTCATCTGCTGTTCTAGTTAATCTTTAAAAATTCAGGTGAACTGCCCGACCCTTCCAAATATCGGCATTCTACCTCTTTTTGGTAAACTACTAGAGGCCCTAATCAATGCTGAATTAGTTAAGCATCTCACATCGCAGGGCTTTCTTTCAGACAAGCAATATGGCTTTCGTTTCTGTCGGTCAACTGCTGATGTATTGACGATAACTGCTGAAAGAATCTATCAAGCTTTACATAGAACTGGTGAAGCACGGGCTGTTGCGTTTGACAGGGTTTGCCATAACGGTCTTCTTCATAATTTGAAAGGCCATAGTATTTCAGGACGAATGAATAGATACATGTATAGACTTTATAAGCAAAACATATATTTAATTAAAAAATAATTTAAATTTAAAAGTTGCAGCGCCACTTATCTTTCAGCTGTATTCGCATCAGTGTAAACATCACTTTGTGATCTGCATCCGTTTATTGTTGCTGATATCATCTCTAAACTGGATCCCTACAATGCATGGGGACTTGATGGTATCCCTGAAATAGTTCTTAAGAAATGTGCTTCCGAAGTGGCTTCTGTAATCTCTAAACTCTACAATTGCTGGTTCTTGCTTTCCTGTTTGTTTGAAATCCTATTCTGTAGTGCCAGCCTTTAAGAACTACCAGCATTCTACCATTTTTTGGTAGAATTAGACGCTCTAATCAATTCTGAATTGGTTATACATATCACCTCGAAAGGTCTTCTTTCAAACAAGCACTATGTTTTTCACTTCTCGGGGGTCATCAGCTGATGCGTTATCTATTATTGCTGAAAGGATCTATCAAGCTTTAGATAAAAATTGTAAAGCCCGGGTTATTGCTTTGGATAACTCGAAGGTATTTGACAGAAGTTAGCATCCAGGTCTTCTTAAAAATTTGAAAGGTTATTGGATTTCTGGAAGAATTTTTGATCTGATTCAATCTTTAATATGAAATAAAAGTTATCTTGAATGGCCACTCTTATAGATCTTTTTGTATAAATGCAAGTGTTCCCCAGGGCTCCATCCTTGGAACTACGTTGTTTCTAATTTTCATCAACGACCTTCTCGATTTTATCATTATTCAAATCGGTATCTATGCTGATGATACAACTATTCACTCCTAAATTAATAGTAAGTTTGATCAGTTCCATAAGGTCAAAATGGTAGATGATCTAAATATGGCCTACAATCTGTTGTTAACTGGGGCAAGTTATGACTCGTAAATGTTAACGCATCCAAAATGGAACTGCTGTCTTGTAATTGTCTGAGATAACCTTTCTTGATTTCCATCAACATGGCTGATGTTAATCTCCTGTAGATCGAATCATTACGCATTCTCGGTCTCACGCTGTCCATTGACATGAAGTGGAAAGATTATATTGAATCTATTGCTAGGTCTATTGCTAGGAAAGTTGGTTCATATTATAATTCTGTCATTCGTCCATGCATTGAATATTGCTGTCATATATCGCATGATTCTTCTACTATGTATTTAGAGATTCTTGATAAAATCTGCAATGTTATTGGTCCTGACATGGCATCTCAGCTCCAGTTACTTTCCGCCCTCCGTAAAGTTTCTATAAATATTTTCATGGTAATTGTTTTGATGAGCTTTCCTCTTTCTTACCAAGACTTTACAAATTTAAGTGCAGTAATAGATTGGCTGCAGGGTTTCATCGTTTTAAAGTCGAAATAGCGGTATTTAACCGTAAGTTCTATACTAACAGTCACTTCTCTCACACTTCTCATCTGTGTAACTCTCTTCCGGCTTCTTCCAGTCAACTTTGATCATCAAAAGTTTAAATGCAATGATAATCATTATCTTCTGTCTTCTTGATCCTGTATTTCTCATACTGAGCACCTTATCTCACAAATATAGCATATCTTAAAACTATATATATATATATATATCTGTGTGTGTGTGTGTGTGTGAGTGTTGACTTCAAGGTTCACTTTCATATATATATATATATATATATATATATATATATATATATGTTTGTGTGTGTGCGTGTGTCTATGGAGTATTTAATACTTATATTTATTATTAAAATCGGCGCGTACCATTAGTTGGTGACCTACACTTGGATTTCGACCCCTTTTTATCCACTATCCATTGGCTTTGGTGAAGTTGTCATGATATAAGCCAACCTCCTACCATTTTCTATGACTACCAGTGCGTGTTCGTTATATCAGCGTATTTCAAATAGAACACTGCCCTCGATCGTGTAACGAAGAACACTGTATTGGAGATATTCACACGCATTTTTTAGTGTATGTGTACTAAACATTTTCACTTGTGCATGCTTGGTTTAACAGTAACAAAAGTTCTTTGTTTCATTTTTTTATTTGATTTTTCTACAGTTCACGGCATTTTCTGTTTTCAAGGAAAACATATCAATAGCACAAAAATACCACATATAAGATTGTCAAAAAATGGTCAGTTCGCAAATCAAGCAACTTTTACATTTAAAATATTTTAGTGAATTTTAAACCGGCTGCCGAAGCTTTTCAAAAACTAAAAGGAGTTTATAGGGGTGGGGTGAAATTCACATTATTTGAAAATATTTTCGCATGGCACAAGAGATGCAAAGATCGAGGACATGCCGAGGATAATGAGCCTTGTAGGCTTCCATACATCATCAAGGGTAATGAACCTTGTAGGCTTCCATACATCATCAATAACTGGTAGAAATCTTCAAAAACCAAAAAGATCGTTTGAAATTATCGATATCTATGCATCAGAATGATGACCGAAATGATCTCCATAGAGAGTTTAAGCAAATTTTGCACGAAGACATGAAAGTTTGTACAAAATGATGCCACATTTCTAATAATCCATTTGTGATTATATTTTTTTAAACGTTTGTTTGTAAACTAATATTGTATCTTTTCGTGCTAAAAATTAATTTGAAATTCAGTTTTTGTCAATTTAAAACTCAATTTGAATTGAACTTTTTTTAATTAGAAGTTGAGCTTTTATTTTCATTTGAATTTCAACTTTTTTTTTAATTTGAACATAAAAACGTGTAATATTAATATATGTTTATAAACTGGTGGTCTGTATCCTGTAATTAGTAAGTAATAAACTGATCCCCCACAATTTCTACATATTAATATAATAATTGGAAAATATATTTGAACTTTACTTACGGCCATATCACGTTGAAACACCAGTTCTCTTACGGTCACCGAAGTTAAGCAACGTCGAGACTGGTTATTAGGTCAGTACCTAGATTGGTGACCGCCTAGAAATACCAAGTAGCAGGTACTGCAAACTTGGATATGCGGGTGGTGTAATTATCTCGTAAATGTAAATCCGAGAGCCCAGTTCCAACTCCAGTCCTGTTCGTTATAATCACTTGCGCACAAAACCTTGAGAAACATAAATCCACATATTCTCCCCACAACTACGGGTTTATTCATAGACCTTGTATCAGTATATTATTATTATCCATACCCCTGCAAAAAACTTCTTCCAATCTAAAAATGTTATCTGCCTTTAAATAACCTGCAAAAGGTTGACAAGCCGTAAAAACCAATCAATCATTTTTTTAACTTTCACAAGTGAAAAACGTATAATATTAATAATGACTTAAAATATTAGGTCATTTTTTCGACATATAATCTAAGATTTTACTGGAAATAAAGTGAGGGCTTGGTTTTCTATTGTTATTAAGTTATAAACCGATTCGTAATAATGACTACATATTACTATAACAATTGCAAAATATATTTAACTAGAATTTTTTGCAACCCGCTAACACGTATTGAAATCCCCACAGTATTTAGTATTGTTGAAGTCATTGCTAACATTTTTTGTCGAGGTCTACAAACTCTACGTTTCGTTCAATTTAGCAAACCAATCGATGAAATTTGAATAAGCTGATTTGTTTGGATAAATACTTTGACAAAAAACCTACTTCGCGGTTTAATAATTTCTTGAATTTAATTTAATTTTATAGTAAATGGTAAACAATATTTTTTAAGAAAATTTATTCTTTTCCTTTTTAACAGCGAAGAATTCTTAAGATTTCTTACTTTTGAGCATGTAACGTAAAACTGGCCATGCGTAAATATTTCTTTCTGGGGCCAAATTTAAACTTTTTGAAGCGTTTGGCTTTGTTATTTGTTCATAGTTCTCGCAAGCGCAAGGCAAACTGGAAACTGTATTCTTGTATATATAAAAACTTAAAGAAAATATATGCAGAAACAATATTACTTTTTATGAAATAAGTATTTGCCATTTTAATCATTAAATAGTTTTTAAAGTGGGAGTATTTTGTATGTTAAATAATAAAACTTTTAATTTTTCCAAAAGACTAATCAAAATTTATT